CTGTCTGACGCGTCTGCCTCCGCGACCCGAAAGGAGAAGCGGCGATGGAAGATGATGATGATGATGATAAGTTTTTTAACCTGAATGACCCAAGACATGTCTAAGAGAGTACATAACTACCTCTAACTCTAAAAATTATAGGAACCAGGAACAGTGAAAGCAACAATGTACAGAAAACTTAAAGCCTTACCATGGCAGGCACTTTCGTCCACTCGCAGTCCAACGGTCGGATCCAGGCCACAGATGAGGAAGTAGTCTACCAAAGGTGTTTCCATCGAGCGCTAGTCGCCTTCTCAGGCATCAGCCACAAATTCCCATAACTAAGCAAAATATCCAATCAATCATTCCCATCACTTGACAGCACATGATCTCAACCGATAGGTCCGCGAAATGATTAATGATCGTTTACTTTTTTCTCTAAGTCACCGAACCCATGACTGAAACACAGATTGTTACGGCATAAGGCATGCATGTATTCTGCCACTGTAATTAATAGAATTAAAGCATAAAGTGAACTTATTTTGACTTTGAGCTGAAGAAACTCCATCCATTCACCATGACTACCAAACAGCTATGAGATTTATTTATAATACTACACTACTTAATTGCCCTACAGTTTAATGCCGCGCCCAAAATTGATTTTCACGTTTCAACAATGCAATGGCATGCCGATTAGAATACATTGGAACCCCGTTTAAATATCTTCAAACGAGGTCATTAATTTAAAAGAAGTAGTGTAGATTAGCGCTAAATAATGCTTATGGAAATGCCCTATGTAATCGAGATTTTTAATTGAATTTCAAAACTTTTAGTACTCCATTATCTCTTCGCTTCGTAAAAAACACTGAAACATGAATCCTATCTTGTGCAATGTATTGCACGTCCTAAGAAGCCTGCAATGTAATAATTCTATTTTCTATTATGGCAGTTATTTTCATATTTTCTCAAGTATATTTTCTTATAAGCAATGCGAAATACTAGGAATATGCATCTAACTTCTTAAATACTGAACCTCTTTGGTATACCCAGGTAGCTGCCTGAAGTGTCTGCAAGAGATCGATAAGCAATGGTTCAGCTCTAAATCTCCAGAGTTACTGCCTCATATAAAATCGTAATTCGGACGTTTATAACTTTAAACATGGCACATGTTTCTTTTCTCAAGATATGAAAAATTGTGATGACATTCTCTCCCAAGTAAGATCAAGCAGAACCACGTTTAATAGGTAATTTGCAACATTAGATGATTGTTTTACGCATTGTAAGGAATTCACGCTTTGCTTGTAATTAGCACTTTTATCCTGTTCAGGTTACTATGATGCTTGAAAAGCTATCAAACCACCTACGAGTGTCGCAAAATATCCTCTCTTTTTTCAGCACTGAAGTCTTTGGACGTGACATTTGGTACTCATTTTATTCTGACGCTTGAATTCAATGCTGAGTTGCATTCTGTATCCTTGTGTTTGGAAAAATTCCCCTGATTATGGCTTCTGCGTCAGTAGCCGAAACGTCAGAATAAAATAATGGAGTGCCAGATCATCGGGGTCACGCCCAAACCATTTGCATTGAGAAAATTGAGGAGATTCATAACCTTGGTGTTTGTTGATAAATGAAATTCCGAAAACTGAAAATCGTATACTGTACTCTGAAGACGGACTGACCTTGTCCGAAACGTCAGATGTCCCTAATTAGAGAACATTTTATGCTTTGCCTTTTCGTTTCTGACTTACCTAAGATTATTCCGGACACTGTCATAAAATGTTTGGTTTAGTATTTACCACTATTCTTGAAGATATGTGAACATTTTTGTCGTCTTTTCCATTTTATTAACAGGACTAGAAACAAAATGGACTGATTCAGATCTTCAACCCATATGCTTGGAAATATGCTCATTTTCTCAAAAAATTTGCTTCCTGAACGTGTCAGTTTCCCTGCAATTTGTACCCGATAGAAAACTTAGCAAAAGTTTTGATCTTTTTCGGAATTCTATGTGACATTTCTGATGTTTGACGAGGTCACGACATACAGCCGTGACTCTTGCTCTACTCCTCAAGCAGCTGTAATCTTGAACTTCATGGATATTTTTGTCATTTTTTTACGTAAATTTTGGCATTCTCCCTTGCGTGTGTGTAGCCATTCATTACAGGGGAAAGGTTTTCATAAAAATACAGAGGCAACTGCGTGCAGATATCAAGTACGGGACAAGCTAACAGTCTTGATGCACACCCCTAAGCCGCTTTTTAGGACCTCCTACTGCGTATGTGAGCTAGCGGAACTACATCATGCATCTTAAAATAAAAATGTTAAATTTTATATTTTTTAGTGATCTTCGGATGTGCTAGTGAGTTAAAGTCCCGCATAAATGTTTTAGAAAGAATATTTAGATTAAGAACAA